CGCGAGTTCTTGCACAAGTACACTGACGTTCTAATGTATGAAATCAGTGCTTCTTGCGCAAGAACTCTGATGCTCCCGCTCAGGAATAAGGCCTCTTGCGCAACTGTTCTTGCGCAAGAGGCCAGTGCAGACAGGCAAGATGAATTTTTTGCACAAGAAAGCCCTATGGTTAAAATGGCCATCAGAGCTTTTTTGTGCAAGAGACTGTCTACACTGGCATTGATGCTCTTGCGCAAAAGCACATCTCTTGTGCAAAGGCACATGCCAGTGTAGACGCTCTCTTCTGGAAGAGTTTTTGCACAAGATCATGCCAGTGTAGACATAGCCCATGTGTTTGTTTGTGTTTTATTGTTAGTCTGAGTTGAACCTCTGATATCAAAGCTATACCGAAGTGTGATTAAAATTGATTAATCGGAATGATTACAATTAGTGGTTAAAGTTAGATTTTTTTTTGTGTGCCAACTATTGAACAGGATTTAAAAGTATAACGGGCTACATACACTTCTGCAGCCTTGGATTTTGCAGAGTACAGGGTTTTTTATTTTCAAAAGGAGCAAAAAAGCCCCAGGACACAGCAATAGGTCTAATCATTAATAATGGCAAATTTGCACATGAATAGAATACAGGAAACAGTAGAAAAGGCTCATCTCTTACATGGTAAAGTATTGTAAAAATAGAATTACATTTCAACAAGATCAAAACCCCATTAAGAATATGGTAAATTACCATTACTTCAGATGTGATCTATAACAGGAGATTATGTTGTTGGTTTAGATTAGTGTGCCCATTAGTTCAAATCTGCTGATACTTAATAGTGCATGTCATTAGAATGATGAGGGACTATATGCATATTATAATTTACTTTCACTGCATAGACATAATGGTGTTGTGGAGAGCTAGGATGTTGGTGCAATCAAAGTGATTTAGAGTCAAGCTTTTGGATGAATGATCTAGATTCAGTTTTGTCATATCACGTTGATACACAACATACCCTTTATAACAAAGACAGCAAGGTTCTGAAGCAGCACCATCCTCTGGAGTTTTAAGTGTATCTGTTGCTTTTTCAGGGCACACACATGCTTAGCTTTAGTTATGTAAGCAGTGTCATTGAGTTTAAGAGTTCTCATGTGAATAAAGTTAAGTATATGCATCAGTGTTTCCTAAAATTGTAAACTCTTTGAGGCAGGGACTATGCCTTTCTTTGTCTGTTAGTGTTGTTGCTTAAACATAATAAAAGTAGGGGGACAATTAAAATATGATACAGTTCAAACAAGCGCAGAATCCATTGTTGACTACTTGATCGGTTATTGCAACATAATGGAATGGTTCACAGCTTGCCTCCTTAAACAATCAAATTATTCAAGTGGGAAATGTCCTAGGCTGATGAAAGCTAAAAATGACTTGTGTGTCAGTTGCATAGCTACTTGGAACTTATCTGTTCAATATGTTGAAGATGATCCAGAGGTGGCCAATTTAGTCTACAGAAGCGAAGAGTGAGGGGGGATTTGATAGCAGCCTTCAATTTCCTGAAGGGAGGTTCCAAAGAGGATGGAGAAAGGCTGTTCTCAGTAGTGACAGATGGCAGAACAAGGAGCAATGGTCTCAAGTTGTGGTGGGAGAGGTCCAGGTTGGATATTAGGAAAAACTATTTCACGAGGAGAATGGTGAAGCACTGGAATGGGTTACCTAGGGAAGTAGCGGAATTTCCATCCTTAGCGGTGTTTAAGTCTCGGCTTGACAAAGCCCTGGCTGGGTTGATTTAGTTGGGATTGGTCCTGCCAAGAGCAGGGGGCTGGACTTGATGACCTTCATAGGATAACATGATCTTGGCAACTAATTGACCTTTCACTATCAGTGGTAAATAGGCAATGGAGGGATGATAGGAGTTACTATAGAGAACTTTTTCCTGGGTGTCTGGCTGGTGAGTCTTGCCCACATGCTCAGGCTTCAGCTGATCGCCATATTTGGGGTCAGGAAGGAATTTTCCTCAAAGATAGATTGGCAGAAGCCTTGGAGGTTTTTTGCCTTCCTCTGTAGCATGGGGCACGGATCACTCGCTGGAGGATTTTCTGCATCTTGGGGTCCTTAAACCATTTGAGGGCTTCAATATCTGAGATACAGATGAGAGGATTATTCTAGAAGAGGGTGGTGAGATTCTGTAGCCTGCATTATGCAGGGGGTCATACTAGATCAGTGGTCCCCAACGCGGTGCCGCGGGTGCCATAGCGCTTGCTGGGGCATTTATGTGTGCCCGCTGAAACATCTGGTCTTGTCCCGCCCCCAGCGCACGGCACATGCGCGGTGCCAGCCCGAGGCGCATGGCGCATGGGCAGCCCCTGCCCTGGGTGCACGGCACATGCGTGGTGCTGGCCCTGGGTGCAGGGTGCATGGGTGGCCCCACCCCCGGAAGCGTGGCGCATGAGCGGCCCCACGCTCGGACACCCGGCAGCTACGAAAGGTTGGGGACCACTGGACTAGATGAACATAATGGTCCCTTCTGACCTTAAAGTCTATGAGTCTATATTTCTTGATGGATTTGACATAGTTTATTTTTTGTAGAATGTGAGATGGTACTGTGTCCCTTTATTTTTCTTTTCTGTGTACTTACCACTGTATCTGTCTTGTTGGTATGTATGTAAAAGATTGAACCTCTCTAGTCTGGCACCCTTGAAACCTGAGTGGTTCTGAATGAGAGAATTTTCTAGACCATGGGAGGTTAATATTGTCCGGCAGCATTACCCACACTTCTACTGCTTACTGGGCTGTTAGAGGACATTTAGGGGTAAATTAGAGCTAAATTACAGCACAGAACACTGAGAGCCAGGATTGGTGGCTATAAACAAACTTTATGGGGCTATGGGAAACTTGGCCACTCCCATGAAAAGTGGACATCCAGCTAATTAAAATAATTCCGGATGACAGATGTTTCTGGATGAGAGAGTTCTGAATTAGAGAGGTTCAACCTCTACCAAGGCACTACCAAACTATTCTCTAAAAAAGAAATACATTAAGTTTGTAGATTAACACTTACGTTTGGTTTATTAAAAAAAAATCACTCAGAATAACCAACTGTTCTCCAAAGAGAAGCAACCAAAATGTTCACCAGTGAACACCATGAACTATTAAAATGGCAGAAGTTGAGCACTGTTATGGAGCATGCTATAAGCATGTCTGCTACAAGAAAAGGGGAAAAAGTACAAAACTGGTGCACCAATCGTTACATTGCAAACAAAAGTTCAATTAAAAGTATCCTTAAACTCCCTAGACCATGGGTTCCCAAACTGGTGTGTGTGCCCCCCTGTAGGGGGGGGGGTGAAGAAATTCCAGGGGGGGCACGAGGCAACCCAGTCCCACCTCCCTCCGTGAAATCCCCGCCCCCCAAGTTGTACTGCTATTTTTGGTTTTTGTCCTGTCAGTTCTTTTTTTTTTTTTGGTCAACAAGTTTTGCTGCTATTTGAGGGGGAGGTGAGGGTTTCTCAAAAATAAAAAAGGGGGGTGTGATGTCGAAAAGTTTGGGAACCACTGCCCTAGACAGAAGCCTGCACTGTGCATACAGTTTCTATTGAGGCTCTTAACATGGTCTTCATCAGAACTACGATGTCCAAATGCCTAAGGCTCTACTATACTTTAAATAAGACAAATAAACATTTTTACAATAATGACAAAGCTCATGGAGTTAAAGTGCATTCACTTGACATTTCAAACATGGAGTTGAACAAAGAATACTTAAAACAGACCGCTGTTCACAGTCCTCAGTTTTAACAATGTCTGATCTTGCAGTCTTTGAAGATAAAGAATCTTCTTGAAGATAAAGAAGTGTTATGTGTCAATGGAACTGGAAGATCAGGATTTCAAATGTTATTATTTATGAAACACTATTTCACAAACAGTTGGCCTCCCCTTTACAGAGCACTTTACAAACCAAGTTTGAAACAATCATGGTGGCTTACATGTTTTTATGGTTTTGTTTAAATATTAAACAATTCAAGTCTTATTGTAAAACCAATATTAAAACATGCTAGAAACCGGTAGTCTTTTACTCTCGCGTTCACAGAGGTTTTGCTTTTTTGTTTTTGTTTTTTAATGAAGTAATTTTCCAGCATTAAAACCAGATTACTGCTGACAGTAATGGCAGCAACACCTGTGCTAGTCAAAATTCTGTTTTTCACTTTTTACTTGTGATGAGGAGTGCTATCATCTGGTATGAGCAAAGTGGGTGCAATATCCTTTTCTGGGTTACCTTAACTCTAATTTCATAGTCTGGACTTAATTTCAAAACCTGCAGTTCTCACTGAAGTGTGATTTGTGCTAAAAGTTGCTAACCAGGAGCATTGTAGGGTTTTATAGCCATTGTATCCCATTGGTTTTCATATCAGATTTGCTTAGTCTGCACGCAGAAGTTTTTTTGAACACAAACTCAACCTGGGCCCTGACAGCTCCACCAATAATATAGCTTTGAAGGCCAAATTGTACCCTCATTCATGCCTGTGGCACCCCATTGTCTTTTGATCATGTCCTTTGTAGTATTTCTGGAAGCCAGCAAAAAACTGGACAAAGGAAAAGTTTCATCATCAAGAGCTCAACTAATTAATTCTCACAACTGTCTTGCAAGGCAGGGAAGTAGTATTATCCTAGTTTAACTGAGGCAGAAATGTTGTGTCACATCTCTAAAAATCAGGGTGTTTTTATTTAATTCACTAAATATGTATTATGTTGAAAAATGGTTAGATAACTTAGGCAGGGGCAGATGACGGTTTTGCGGGGCCCCGGGCAGCATACTTCCGCGGGGCCCCCCCTTTGCCACGGCGCATGCGCGGGGCTTTCTGAAGCGCGGGGCCCGGGGCGGCCGCCCCGTTCGCCCTGCTGTATATCCGCCCCTGAACTTAGGTTCCCAAAGTTAGCTCAGAAATATTGGCTGTAAGTGAGTTTCACAGGAATTCTTGCCTTTCTTTAGACCAGAGCTACTCAACTCTGGAAGCCCTGGGGGCCACAATGATAGTTACAGTAATTGCAGAGGGCCGCAACTTAAGTGTGGTTGTATATACATGCAAATATATATGCAGATATATGCAAATAGCTTATTCACTTGGATGGGTATGAATACAAAGTTTAAGGCAAGACTATACAATACACAGGCCCCATTTAAGTCAGTTCTGCTGATATTAATAAAATGCAATAGTTACCCGATTTCTACCCATCTGACAGCACTTTTAATGAGCAATGACAGTCCAGGAATGTAACTACTAAAACTCATTTCAACAGAAGGCCATTATACTTTTGTGTTTTGGTTCCCACCCGCAGGCTGCATGTTGAGCCCCGCATAACCCAAACTGCACCGTGGGCTGCAAACAAACAGGCCGCGGGCCGCATACAGCCCACGGGCCATATGTTGAGTAGCCCTACTGTAGACAATGTGTCTCAGGTGGCTGTACAACTGTTGCATAAACTTCCCAGTAAATTTGCATCTTGCAATTGGCTGGCTGTGCATTCCATTATCAGGACCCTCATTGCTGAAATAACTTGCTCTGAAACTTGTCTGATCCATTTATGATACACATTAATTAAATCTGCTGGTTTAAATACCTGATTAAATCATTATTTGAAAGCAAGCATTGCTAATGGATTCTCAGGAGCAACAAATCCATCCACCTCTTTACAGTGTTAACATGGTGATCCATCCAAGGTGAGATCAAGCATTTCTACCTCTGTCTGAAATCCTCAGACTATGATGTTGATACATCAGACTGACAGTTTTACATACCATCAGATCAGTCACACTATAAATATGAGAACATACCATATTAATTCTGTACATCATACAATATTGTCAACAAATACTGACTACTATACGTCAGTTTCTTTTCCACACACCAGGTGTTTCTCAAATGCTGAAACATCTCTTTCTTCTGAATTCCTCTTTACTGTTTCGGCATATCCTTCAGTTACATATTGCATATTAGGCTTCGTATTGGCAACTGGAAGATAAATTCATATTTGTTGAAGTTCGTACATAGACTGGGGGATTTATTTTGACTAAAATTCATCCTTTAACATCACTGATAAATACATTTTTTAAAAGAGACGGTGTATAGATATTACAGTAATAGTAACTCTAGCAATTTTCAAGAGTGATTGAGCAGGAAGACATGATCCAATATAAATTAATTTATGGTCAAGAAAATAATTGTTTCTTTTTTATTAAGGCTGGTTGAAATACTCTGCATTTTGAAATAAAACCTTTTCCCATTTTTACAAGAATATTTGCTTTTTTTCTTCCCTCATTTTTCAACCCATTACACAGAGCTGATCAAAATTTGTCAAGTTTAAGAAAGTTACTGACATTTTTTATTTAAAAATGAATTATTTTATAGTAAAATTGTTGGCAAATTGTACTCCCTTTTTCAACTAGTCCAGCTTTTAAACTACGAAGCTGCATGTGTTTCTTTAGATTCCAGGAATACATTTTACAGCAAGGTGTCCCACAGAGTTTTAAAAGGCAACCTACAGCTGGGTTTTTCTGTAACTACAAAGTGAAGACAAAACTGAGGATGTGCAGGTTGCGTTTGCTGATTAAATCGTTATTTGAAAGCAAGCATTGCTAATGGATTCTCAGGAGCACCAAATCCAGCCACCTCTTTACAATGTTAAGTATAAAACCTTTTCCCATTTTTTTACAAGAATATTTGCTTTTTTTCAGCCAACACCAGCTGCCCCAGGGATGGAGCTGGCTCCCACATTTAGAAGGCAGGAATAAAAGCCCTGCTGAAGGAGTGGCTTAGGGGCTAGGGCATCAGCCTCTAGAGCACAGAGTGGTGGGTTCAATGTGGCCCCCTCCTCCACTCACTCAGGCAGCAGCTGGACAGCCTGGGTGGGTGGTGTTATGAAATCAGCAAACAAGCAATTTCTGTTCATCTAAAAAAGGTACAAGTCTCACCAATATTACATGTGTATCTATTTTTGATAAAATATTTCTGTAAATATTTATAGCTCTTAATGCCAGAAGGAGCATTACAATCACCTAGTCCCACCTCATAGATAACATGAGACAAGGAGCTTTACCCAATAATTTCTACTTTGAACCCATGACTTCTATTTGAGCTGTGGCAGTCTCTTAGAAAGACCCCAGTCTTGACTTAAGGACTGCAAGTCATGGAATATCCCCCAGCTCCCTAGTTTTATTCATGGCATGTAGCCAAGGAAGTGTTTTGAAATTTGGGTAGCCACTACTTTGCAGAATTATATCACCTGTAATGTTTTGGGGAAAGCGCAGCCTTATTTCCTTGCTCTCCCATATCATTCATACCTTGTCACCCCTAAATGAGCATTTCTCATTCATAATACATGTTCACAAAATAACTACCAAACACATCTAATAAAAACCAAATAAAAAGCTGTAATTTTGAAAGACACCTATGGGAATTCGGCACTCAGGTCTTGTTAAATTCTAATGGGATTTGTACAACTAACTGTTAGGCTCATTTGAAAATCCCAGGCAAAAGCTTTAAGCATCACTGTAATCTCTCATGGGGTTCCCAGTTATAAGGATGAATCTGAGAGATTGTTAAAGTGCTCGTGTGTCTGTACTGGGCAGTGGGCTACTCAGAAGGTTTAACTAAAATGCATGATTGACGCATAAGATTTACAGCTTGCAAATCTTTCTCAAACATTGAGGGTAGCATGAATCTGCTCTGGTTGAAGTCAGTAGCAAAACTCAGATTGCAACAAGAATTTTAATGACCGAGGGTAGTGGTGGTAGCTTACCTTGACCATTCTTCTCAACGGCTTGATTGTCTTCGTTAGACCTGGATTTGTAACTCTCCAGCGTCTGTTCTGAAGTGTCATTTTCTGCGCAGATAACATAAGCAAACACTATGTTGTGATTTTTTTTTCACATATTTGCCCCCCTCTCCCTCTGCACATGCCCAAATCTTGAATGAGAAGGATATGCCGTGGTCAGAGCACAGTATGGGTGTGTCTACACAGCAAAGTTATTTTGGAATAATAGCCGTTATTCCAAAATAACTATGTGAGCATCTACACAGCAATTCCTTTATTTCAAAATAATTTTGAAATAATGGATGGCTTATTCTGACTTCTGTAAGCCTCATTCTATGAAGAATAACGTCTATTCCGAAATAGCTATTTTGAAATAAGGCGTGTGTAGATGCTCCACTTCTGCTATTTTGAAATAGTCCCTCACAAGGGCCATTCTCAGTTATTCCTCCTGGGGCTCTAAATCCAGATAGCATGTCTACATTAGGGAAGCCTGCCTCGGACGCATTTTGAGGCTTCCCTGCAGTGTATACGTGCTATTTCAAAATTCAGGAATAGCTTATTCCAAAATAACTGTGCAGTGTAGATGTAGCTTAGTTGTACTGCCAAAAAGGAGCAGCTGAGCCAATTAGTGCCAGTCATTGATGGAGGCTTTTGTGATAAAGACTGTTGTCCATTGAGATGTGGCCAGAGGCCCTAGGCATTTCCCCTTGGATCCTGACCCAAAAGTGCTTGAACTAGGGATGCGGAGGAGAAGGGAAAAAGGGTTAAAAATACAAATGAATGGAGATTGCTTATCTCCTAGAACTGGAAGGGACCTTGAAAGGTCATTGAGTCCAGTCCCCTGCCTTCATAGCAGGACTAAGTACCATCCCTGACAATTTTTGCCCCAAATGGCCTCCTCAAGGATTGAACTCACAACTGTGGGCTTAACAGACCACTGCTCAAGCCACTGAGCTATCCCTCCTCCCCAACACAAAGTGGTTTCCACTTAATCCAGTTTGGTTCAATGGCTCATAGTACCCCCACTATAAAAACTGTTCCAGCACCTATGTCCTGAAGTTTGTAACAACTTTCGGTTCTGACACAGGCTTGATTTTTAACCAATGATCTAGACATGCAAGGGTCCTTTATGATGTTACCAACCACCTCAACTATCTAATCCCTCACATCCATCCTAAACACTGACATTACAGGCAGTCCCCGGGTTACGTACAAGATAGGGACTGTAGGTTTGTTCTTAAGTTGAATTTGTACGTAAGTCGGAACTGGCGTCCAGATTCAGCCGCTGCTGAAACTGACCAGCGCTGACTACAGGAAGCCCGAGGCAGAGTTTCTCGGCCCCGGGCTTCCTGGAATCAGCCGCTGATCAGTTTCAACAGCAGCTGAATCTGGACGCCTGGGACAGAGCAGCTGGGGGGCGCGCGCAGTGTTTATTTTTTTATAGACAAGAGGAAGGCAGACAAGAGTTTATCGTATTTACTTTTAGAAAAATCCATCTGGGGAAAAAAGCAACAGGGATATCAGTTATGCTCTGTGAAGCAGAAAGGATAATAAGAAGTATGTGTTCTATTAATAGTAATACTAACAGCGCTTGCTAATGAACAACAGAAAATGAGTGAAATAGGCATTTAAAGTGTGTTTTCTGGTTGTATCAAGTTTCAGGTGCATTATCATATAGTTAGTATTTTTCCACTTTTTTTTTTCCAAATGTTACAAAACCACTACAAAAAATACTAAATGTGTAGTATCAAATACTACATCATGCAACCCAGGACAAGAAAAGATTGCAGGGTCAACAAAACAGAAAATTTATCCCACCCCAAACGTTCTTATATAACAGCAGGACAGAATTCCCTATTAGCACTTAAGAGAGCTGACTAACATATCACAGAGGCCCAGGAGCTGCAAACTTTGAAGTACAGGCAGTCCCCGAGTTAGGCGGATCCGACTTATGTCGGATCCGTACTTACGAACAGGGCTTTTCTCGCCCCAGAGGATGCGGGCGGTGGGACCGCAGCGCGTCTGGGCGGTCCCGCCGCCCGCGTCCTCCGGGGGCGAGAAAAGCCCCGTTCGTAAGCCCCGGGGACTGCCTGTACTGGAGATTTAGATTGTGCTGTCACTCACCTCTCTTCCAGACTCCATGTGCTTTTTTCAGCTTTCTCATGAAGAGCAGGACTATGATGAGCATCACAAAGATGAGGACAGCTACCAGGACTGGTAACAAAACACTTGTTTCCCTTTGTCTGATTCCTTCAGAATTAAGATCTGTTTCTATAAAAGACATATTTTGAATACAGTTAAGTAGCTACTAACTATGAATTTTAGGTAAGAAGATGAGGGCTGTCTATTCGAGATAGTGCTAAGTGATATGACAGGAATGCATGCCTGTTCATCAGAAATAAAGGAGCATATGACAGATAATGGGAGATCATTTTTAAGACTAATGATTAGATTGTTGCTCAAGTTTGTGTTGAGAACATAGGGTATGTCTAGACTACATGGCTCCGTCAACAGAGGCATAGACATAGGAAAATGAAATGGCGATTTAAATATTCGCCGCTTCATTTACATCAAAATGGCTGCCGCGCTATGCTGATCATCTATTTGGCGGCACAGCACGGTAGTCTGGACCCTTCACGGTCGACAACAGAAGCCTTTGTCGACTTTTCCGTTCTGCCTTGTGGAATGCCATAGTGTCCTTCATGGTGGATTTGGTAATGTAGACACTTTGCTGCTGGGAGCCAGGCTGACTTCAGGAAGGCCCATTTAGAGTTTAATATTAACAAGTGCTTACTGATGGTAGCATTAGAATTCAGGGTTGTTTCTTCATGGGTTATTGATGATTCTTCTGTCCCAAAGGTTTCTTCTGCAAATGTCACATTTATTGTGATTTCTGCTCCTGTAGAAATGAACAGTGTATCTCTGATTAGCCCAATCACGGTCTGTTTACACACTACAGTATTAATTCAAAATATAATGATTCCGAGGAATGTGTATGAGTCAGATTTTCAACGGATGTAAATTGGGATAGATGGAGCTATGCTGATCTATATGAGTTGAAGATCCAGCTCTATATTCTTTAGTGTTAAATATAAAACTTGGAGATTTCTATCCATGCTAGAGAACAGGATGATCAAACAATTAAACCTCAGAATAGGTCTCGTCAGGTATCTCTATACAGCAGGGCTAAAGTCGAATGAAGGTACGCAACCTGTGCTACGTCAATTGCATAGCTTAAGTTAAAATAGCGTATTTCAGCTTTTGGCGCTGTGTACACTGCAGGAAGTCCGAGAAAGAACACTCTTGCTCCAACTTCCCTTACTCCTCGTAAAAGGAGGGTTACAGGAGTCAGACTAAGAAGTCCTCCAGCTTGACATTATTTCGACATTGTCAAAATAACTGCTTGTAGTGTAGATGCGGGCTATGTTATTTCGGAATAACTAACGTTATTCCGAAATATCACTGCTATGTAGATGTACCTGAAGATTTGCAAGTGTTATTTCTGTTTTACAATTGAGGAAACTGGAAAACAAAGTAATGTGAGTTGACCAATATTACAGTGTGATCCAATGTTACAAGTGAATTTAGAATTTGAATTCTTGGCTCCCAGCACTTTGTTCAGTTCATTAGATTACTATGTTATTCCATCATTAAAAAGTTTACCAGTGATGATTGTGGAGTTTTGAGTTGATTGTTCATTGCTTATTGTTGGTGTATCTGTAAAAGATGTTTCTTCTGTGATATTCAAAGTTCTTTCTGCAGACATGAAAGGAGAAAATATTTTTACTTACTTTTTCCCTTTCAATAGTCTGATCAGGCATCCAAACTGTGGACAGACCCAACAAAATTCCACCTTACTACGGCAGTATTTCAGGAGTCTAACAATGGGTTTTATGAAAATTCTTAGCTACGGTTCTAATAAATGCCATTTAAGGACAGAGCTTTCATAAGTGCCAATGGCTCAAATCATTAAAGCCGTCCTTAAAACCTTCTTGGGTCCAAGAAATTTAGACACAGAAATCACATTGAAAGTCAAAAGGATTTGTGCTTCTAAATCACTTACACATTTCAAAAAAGTGAGGAAATGCTTTATTTTTTCCTCAAGTGAATGATTTTGCAGTTGAGAACCAAAACTTATCCTGTAACCCATTGTTTCCTAAGAGTAAAATCAAGCTTTCAGTTGGAGTTTCTGGGCCAAGCATGGGGAAGATGTCAGGGAATGTTCTTACTCTCGAAGTCCTTTGCCATAGACTACATAAGCCCAATGGTAGGAACAGGCTTGCTTGTCTCTAATACAGCCCTGACATTCAGGACTTAATAGTGGTGAAGCCTCTGGCCTTGTTTGTGCTTTGAACCACTCAGAGATGCACAGCTCTCTTGAACCCAGCTAACCTTTGTGCGGTTGAAACAAAATGTTTCCACTGTGGGGAAGGAGTAAAAACCCTGTGGCCATGGAGTTGGGAGTCAAATTTGTCCCTTAGCACCAAACCTTGATGGTCTTACTCAGTTCTTTCCCACTCCTGGCTCATGTAAATTCCCATGGCAGACAAGCCATCCAATTCTTTAGCTAATATTAATCATAACAATACTTAGACTTCAGAGCACTGTGCAACAGCCACTGTAGCTGACTCTCAAATGGCCCCATAAGCAAGTGAACATTAATGAACTCCGTTTTACAGTAGAGAACCAGAATCAGAGGTCGAGGTTTTCAAAATCATGAGGGGATGTGGATGCCTTGTAGGAACTGCACATTGAAATTCCCGAGCCTTTGATAAAGGCTCAGTGGAGCCTTTAAATGACTCCCCCAAGGTAATGGAATAAGTCAGTAGTAGATCCTGGATTAGAACAGTGGAGTTCCTGTCTACCAGTCCTGTTCATTACAGCATATGGGCATTCTGCTTACAAAGACATTCATTAGTACATGTACCAATGGTGCTGTTAGCATTCTGAGTAGCTGATTCACTGCTTGTTGATGGTTCTTCTGAACTAGAAATGTCCTTCACTGTTGAAGTTACTGTAACTTCTGACCCTGTAGAAATGAAAACAAAACACAGTGTATAGACAGTGTATAAATTAAACTCATTTGTAAAACAATTAGTTTATATGCTGTCTGTCTATAACATTATACATATACACACATATATACATACACACACACATACACAGTTGGAGAGGTCTCAAAGGCACAAAGGCCAGGATCCTTTAAGCTGTTTAGGTGCCCAAATTCAGTGAAATTAATGAGTTAGACAGCTAAGCACCTTTGAGGTTCTGGGTCAAATTGTACTGACATTAAAAAAAAGTTAGCTAATTTCCATTTTAAAATCTCCATAAAATAAGGGCACAGCCAGCCAGCCAGACCCCTTTTAAAGTTTGGAAAGTTCATGTCAAACAAAACATAATTTACATGGTAGTAATGCAGCCCTCTCCCCCTTCCTTATATCTGGTACAAGCCTACTTGTTACCACTTGAATAACTTTACAGTTTAAGATGTGTTGACCATGCTTATTTTCTGTCAGCCTGTGGCACAGTGCCACCTAGTGCATCCACAGGGATAGGTGTTAATAAATTCACGACCACTGGTCCCATATGCTTGTCTTCACTACAAAGAAAGGACACATCTACACAACAGGGCTAAGGTCAGAATAAGCTACGCAACTTCAGCTACATCAATTGTGTTGCTGAAGTTGAAATAGCTTAATCTGGCTTTTGGCGCTGTCTACCCAGCAGGAAGTTGAAAGAACACTCTTCCTTTGACTTCCCTTGCTTCTCGTAAATTGAGGGTTACCATGAGTCAGAATAAGAAGTTCTCCAGCTCAACATTATTTTGACATTAAAGCTTGCAGTGTAGATGCACATTTTGTTATTTCAGAAGAACATCAGTTATTCCGAAATAATGCTGCAGTGCAGACATACTCAAAGAGACAAGCGGAGAGGGGTAGTATTTCTCTAGGATGGATGCAGTTATAAAATGTTCACCTGTGTATAACAACTATTGTGTTTTGTGGTTCAAGGATCTTCGTAACAGCTGGAATATAAATTCGTTCTCAGCAGCATTTCCGTCTGCTCCTCATGTGACATTTTAACAAATCACCTTAATGCCATTAAGAAGAAATTTTTACTTACAAATAGTTGTGTTCACTGGTAGTTCCCTCTGCTGGGTAGGTATTGCTGGTAGATGGCTAGATGGCTTCTCAGGTACAGTGGTAGAAAAGTCTGGTTGGCTGGATTCTAAAGGAATATCCACCAAAAAGACAAAGAAATCGGAAGACATATTTTAGAAATAAATCCAGCCCAGAAAGTTGGAATTCAAATCTGAAATATCCCAAGCTCCAGAGATATTTGTCTCTAAGGCTAGGTCTACATTATAGGGGGTTGTTTTTCTGAAAAAGCAACGCAAATTGCACTCCACAATTTGCCTAGCTTTTTCCGATCACTTTTCCGGAAGAGGGTGCCAAATAGCAGAAAAGCCTCCTTTTTCGTTGGAGCCCTTATCCCTTATAGAACAAGGAATACAGAAAGAGCGTGTTTGCTCTTCTGCAAAAAAAAAAAACAGAAGAGCAAACGCATTCCTTGGACGCAGCAGAGTTTTAACCCCCACAGTGTAGACATATGCTAAGTTTTTATATGGGACCAACTATATATTTTTTCCAAAATAACAGATATGAATTTTAAGTAGAGTGCAGAGGATTTTGAGAGAAGATTGTGCTAATATTTGGGTTGGACTCTGTAGCAATCACTGGAAAAGAAGAACACGCTTCTAAACATAATGCAAGCAATAGTCAGTATTATCTTTGAATATATTTTGACTGCCCATTTTAGCTTTACAAAAGCACTTTACAAATAATTTTATATGATTTATTTCACAATCATGTGGTCATATAAATGCCAAAAAGTAATATTGGCCAAGCAGTCATAGTAATTGAATCTGTCTCCGTTAAACCCCAGATTGCCTTAATTTAGCACTGTTCTACTGTTTATATTATTTAATTTACAACAGTGAAAAGATTTTAAAACATGGAACCTACCAACGGTTGCCTGAGAAGAGAAAACTTCCTGTTGGGTACTTGTTGCTAAAGATATGCTCACAGGTGATGTCTGTATTATAGATTCTGGAGTAGATTCTGTGGAAACAGCCAATGCATTAAAGAGATAAAATTAATAAATGATAATTCATAAAACATCTTTTTTTAAAAGTCAGGGGCTTTTTTATTATTGTACTTACCCACATAATGCTGAGGATTCTCAGAGGTCTTTGTACTTATTTCTAGCATATTTGGAGCTGAGCTTGAAGTAGTCACTGGAAAATAATAATAGTACTTCAACATTTTCTAGTTTCTTTCATCTGAAGCTCTCCAAGGACTTTACATGCATTAACCATATCTAACAGTATGTATGGGAGGTAAATAAGTATTAGGCCCATTTTACAGATGGTAAACAGAGATACAAGGAGCAGAAGTGAATGTTCCAGTGTTCTGGGTTGTGTGGTGTAACACATGGACCCAGAATTTTGACTGAATTCAATGTGCTTTGGATCAGGTTCACTGTGTGTAAGAGGCACAGGTAGTAGTAGAAGCTTGGAATCCAGCTCCAAGTCCATTCTTTAACCACTGGAGAGCACTGTCTTCCAAAACCAGAATTCACACTGAAGAGACTTTCTGAATGATAGACCACAGGTTCAGCTATGTGTCAGTGCATATGCAGGGAGATACTGGAGTAATTCAGTATGGCCTAATAGAGTCTTATTTTAGGACTCGAGACCTAGGTTCACTTCCTTGTTTGTGGATGACTTTGCTGAGGTTACTTAGTGCCTCACTTTCCCCATCCGTAAAAGGGGGGCTGATAATACTGATGTGTGTGGCAACATGCTTGGAGATCTATTGATGAAAAGCACCATACAAGTGAGAGTCTTATTTTTCAAGCTCAAATACTAAAAGGAATCACCATCAATCAACCAATGCTTAAATAAATACTGTTCTTACTGAAATGTTTAAACTGGAAGGATGCTGTCAATTTTCCTTCTTGTACGGTTTCATGATGAATGACACAACTGGCAGTTGAATCCTGGTTGTAAGCACGGACTGTGAGCGTGCTGGTTGTGTTGCATTTCTTTCCATCGTGTTCAAACTTGTGTTTGGTGTCACCTAAGTAACCATTTGAAGAAAACATTTAAGTGCATAACAGTCAGAAGCAATTTAAAGAAAAACATTCCAGTCATAAATCTGCTTTACTTTTGGTCTGCTCAAGCAACACATAAGTAGGGTTGCCAGATGTCTGGTTTTCACCTGGATAGTTCAGTATTTTGGCCTTCCGTCCGGTAAAAAAACCCAGAGAATACCGGACATGTAAAATGTCCAGTATTTTCTGTTTTCCTTGGATGGATGGCCGGCGGCATCTGTGAGGGGAGCGAGGAGTGCGGTAATTTACACGTGCAATGACTTTTTTTTTTTTTTTGCTTAACAAATTTGTTTCCTTGCCTGTTGGGGATTTTTTGTAACGATATCTGGCAATCCTACGTATAAGTGCTGAGCAGAAATCATGTTTTTACAGTCACTTAATTGCAATCTACATGCTACGGTGCACTGGAGAAAAAAACCCTACAAGTTTGGTTCTACTTCACTAAAACCCAGGGGCCGACTCACCCCTCCTGCAGTGCAGAGAAGCGCCGCACTCCTCCGGGGTTAGCGCCCTCTCCCGCAGCGCACCTGGCACACCAGCACACTTCCGGATTTAGGGCACAGGGCCCTTTTAAGCACGGGGCCTGATTCAGGGGAATCAGATGAATCGGCCTAAAGCCGGCCCTGTCTGTTAACTCTGGTAGTATTTATAACTTTGCAATCAGAGAAATCCCTTGGTTTCTTAACTTAGTTTACAGCCTTCTTTAAAGGAGGAGATTTAATTTATCACCCAACAAAAATATTTTTCCATTCAAAACTACACTCCATTTAACTTGCATGTAGTGTACTGCAAACAGTTGAGCGAATTCATCATCATTCTTTAATATCAAATCCTGCATCATAAAAGTCTGCTCAGATATCAAACAAAAAAGCCTGCAACAATATGGATCTTTAGTTACACAACTGCAGATGTAACTTTCCAGATGCCCATGTGACTTAAGGTCAAAGGGCACATTGCATCAGATATAAAATGCCCCGGCTTGTGACCGTACCACCCTCATTAAATAAAGATCCAAATGGCAAAATCAGACATAAGTCAGCAGCAGTTTAAAATTCTCCAGGCCTCAGTGAATCAAACTAACCAAATAAGCAAAACACATTATTTTGAAATAACACAGCATTTATGCAAGCTATAAAAGATCTCTCTGGGTTGTATGGTGTAACACTGACCAAATAATATACAACTTTATTACTTTAAAAATAGAATGAACAACTCCGAATCCCCCCTAGTTTCCTTTAAACTAGAACTCTTGAAATGTATATTTTACCAAGATTACAGGTGAAGACTTGTAAGCTTTACTTCATGATCCAAAATAGAAATATAATCTTCACGTCGTGATACAAAATAGCAAGTAAAGAGAGGAAACCATTCACACTTACTCTTTCATATCTGTCCCACACATGCTGACAGTGTCTTGCATTTCCTCTAACATACATTGCTACGCCTGCCAGCAAGGCAGTTGTTATTTGATCGCAATATTTAGAGCAGTTGTTTGCACCACATGCAAGTAAAATCAAGGTAGCCCCTTGCTCTCCCTCGAGATACATGTGTTCAGAGCTCTACAGGGAAGAGGGCTTTTCATTAAATGACAATAGGAGGCAGATAGTGGAACTTCAGTAAGCAGTGGAACTACTGGCATGGATAAGTGCTACATTCAGTGTGAATTTCAGAACAGAATCTGCCTCTTAACCTCTGTATTCTTCTGACCTCCTGTCTATAAAATGTGGTTAGTCACAGAGGGAGTTTGAGGGTTTTCTAATTCTCTCTGTGCTGTGAAAATTGTACCTTACAAGCGCTGTTAGCTGCGTGACTCTAATGTGAATAATCATGTCAATCCCTTCCCTTTAAGGAAAGATCTCCCCAGGATTTAGCACTTGCATGCAATTCTCAGACCTCCAACTTTGGGTGCTGAGGCCTTGGTGGTTGAGTTAGAGATGTAACAGTGTAGCTGATTAACCGATAAGCAAAAGCTTATAGGTTAATGCTATAGACTACATGCATTCCCTCCCCCCCATCATCACCAATAAACTTTTTAGCAGGCTGGCCTACCCCCGCTGCATTTTAAAGTGTATTAGGAACCAGGCGGGCAGGCAGCCTGGCAGTGGCTCATTTCCGCATTGTGCCGGGTCTGAGAGCTTAGACCCTCCCTTAAACAGGAGCTGCTGCCGCCCCATTCTACTGCCTCTTTATCAGAGGCAGCAACATAAGGCGACAGGCAGCTAGTACACAAGGGGAGCTGTTTTTTAAATTGGTTCCACTTGCAGACCAGCTCCTGCCTGACACCCAGTGCTGCTGCCTCTGATAAAGAGGCAGCAGCGCGGAGTGGCAGGGGCTCCCCCCTGGGGACTATAGAATAGTTAAGTAACCGATAAGAATTCATGAGGTTACTCGACTATCCAATTAACCGATATTTAACATCCCTAGGTTGAGTGGTGTTTGTACAGTACATAAATGGCTGACAAGAATATTTCAAGCAAATGCCACCCTGTGGCCATTGAAAACTCACCATAGACTTCTAGCCCATTATCTAGCAGCCAAGTAATCTGAGGAGGAGGTTTACTTCCCCAGGTTAAGCAGCTCAGTACAATCTTTTCTTCTTCACCATCGGTTCTAATTTCTGATACTTCCAACACTGGCTTGGAGGGAGCAGCTGTAACAAAGAAATGCATGATGGGATTAGGCTCTTACACTCTTGTGCAATCAGTTTCATGACTGGGTGCATGTTTCTCACATTATTATTATTTATTTAAGTTAAGGGTGCATCTAGAGACCCCAGACAGGAGCAGGATCCAGTTTGCTTGGCAGTATAGAGATACATATAAAGACAGTCCCTAAGCCACAGAACTGGGCATGCCCACCTGAGTCTTTCCCTGGCCCCAGCCCTGGTTAGAGCAGCATAGAGGCTATCATGACTTGTGCGAGCTGGCAGCAGTTTCCAGTGGATTGTTCACCAAAGCTGAGCATAGCTAGAGCACAGTGTGTTTTGCCTTTTTCTCCCACAGTCGTTCCCTTTCCCCGGTGCTGGAGATGAAGTATAGCAGGGATGGTGGTGGGGGGCTGTACTATGCCATCTCTGCACTCACTCGGAACACCTCCACACCAGGATCTCCCCAGCAAAGAAGCTAGAGCCAGATTCCATCTTGCACTACCCAAGGACACGAGAGAGGGGGCAGAGAATTTGGCCTACCATCCACACTAGGCTGCGTTTACGGTACTTTATTTACTTGCTGGCACATGAAACCCTGTATTTCAGACTTTGAAGACTGGTACACTAGCTCCCCTACCCTATCTGATTGCTGAGTTTCTCTCTTGGCCATTGTCATGGCCAGTTTCCGATGTGGTTCTGCAGCTCTCGTCTATGATGGAACTAATAGTTCCACATGGCAGCTTTTCAGACAGTCACAGCCCTAAGTAGGAGAAATCAGTGCCCTGTATTTTGTGAAGCCCAAGACATTCTGGCTAGCTCCTACAAAGGCCCAGAAAGCTTCCCTTCTCTTTCACTGTTTTATATCTTTCACAGATGCTGCCATTTCATGACGTGGCCCCTTCTATCTCTCCAATACACTGCAAGAAAGATAGGGCATAAAAAATATATTAGGGTTTTTAATATAAGCCACAACTGTTTAACTAATTACCCATATCTATCACCTTTAAAAACATTTCAACTGCTTCACTAAAGAAAAGGACTAAAGTTGAATGAGCTTTCAGAACTTCACAGCAATTGATGGAGCAATTAAAAATAACATTGAACTATGATCTGGCCCCCTAACCAGAAAATGGTTTCTTTTAACCATTTAGGTTTTCAGAATCAAACTACACAATCACAATAAAGTATAACTCTTCTGCCCAATCAGGTTCTTGGGAAGGTGATCTCATTTAGATTTTGACCAAGAGTCCCTCAGAATTGGGTCTCACTTGTGCCAATTGGTGATCAGTGTTGAGAACACAACAGAGAAAAAAAAATATAGAGCTAAATCACAAGGCCATTTGGTCAATTACTTATGTATCAATTGACCAAAGTCTCCTTCCCAATGAATGGATCAATAATCAACCTTTTTAACCTACTTCACCACAAATTATATTAGTCTCAAGGTCTGGGTAACACTCCTAAGTAAGCTTCAGGGGGTAGCCAAGTTAGTCTGTACAGCAGCATTTCTTAAAGTGTACTCTGTGGTACACTGGTGTGCCACGAGACAGTCGGAGGTGTGCCGCGGAGAGAACAGAATTCAAAATGGCCACCCTTAAAGGGGTAAGCCTCCTTTTTTTTTGCTCAACAAAAAAATCCTTAGTGTTCGCCATAAAAAAAATTATTGTTTGGTGTACCTCGGTCTTAAAAAGTTTAAGAAACACTGCTGTACAGGATAAACTTAAAAAAACAACAAATGGTCTGGTAGCATCCTTATCTGCTTCTTTTTAACTATCCAATCTTCAGGTGCTTACAGATTATCAGTTCTGCCTACTTGTTTTTCCCTTTGATATTTTCATACCCTCTGCTCCTTGTTTCATGCCCCCTTCCTTCTTTTTCCTCTCCCCCCCTTCCTCCTCTATTTATTTTGGGTCTGCACATCCTAAACTCAAAACTCCGGTCATCTGAAGAAGTGGGCTGTGCCCATGAAAACTCATGAGATCATCTACATGTTTTGTTAGTCTATAAAGTGCTACCAGACCATTTGTTGTTTTTTAAGTTACTCCTAAGTAACTGAAACACCTACATTTTTAACAGTCTATACCAGTGTTCCTTAAACTGTGTTTCGTGGCACACCGGTGAATGCCGCGAGGCAGTCGGAGGTGTGCCGCGGAGAGAACAGAATTCAAAATGGCTGCCCTTAAAGGGGCAGGCAACCTTTTTTTTTTGCTCAATAACTTTCCCCCTGATCGCTTTTTCTTTCTTGGCTCAACAACTTTTCCCTGTCTCCCCCACCCCCTCCTTTTTTTGCTCAACAAAAAATCCTTGATGTTCCTCATAAAAAAAAAATTATTATTTGATGTTCCTCGATCTTAAAAAGTTTAAGAAACACTGGTCTATACAATTTGAGTGCTATTCCAGAATCTTGAACACTTGGTATCTTTTATGTTTGCATATGCCAAGAACTTGAAATGCCATATGAAACCATTAACATTAGTGCAGGTTGAATCTCTGTGTCTGACATCCTTGGAACCTGACTGGTGCCAAACCAAAGAATTTGCCTAACCACAGGAGGTCAATATTGTCTAGCAGCATTACCAAAGCTTCCACTGCTTACTTGGCTCTTAGAAGACATTTAGGAGTAAATTAGAGCTAAATAACAGCACAGAACACTGAGAGCCAGGACTGGTGGCTATAAACAAACTTGATGGGACCGCAGAAAACTTGGCCACACCTATGATAAGTGGACATCCGGCTAACTAAAATCATGCGAGACCACGGATGTTGCTGGACTAGAGAGGTTCAACTTGTAAAATATATGCAGCTGTCTGCAGCCTTAGTTAACATAATTTGTTCAGTTTCAAATCTGCTTTACAATAATCTTGACTGGAACTTATTACAAAATAAGGACACACGGTGCAACTGTGTGACCATCTTTAAAGAACATAAACACGCATCAAGAACAAGGAGTCTGGTGGCACCTTAAAGACTAACAAATTTATTAGGACATTAGCTTTTGTGAGCTGCAGTTCACTTTATCAGATGCATGAAGTGCAAGAATCAGACGGCATACCAACAGAGATGGGACTGTTACAACTGTGTTAATGAGCACTCGTTTTTGCTGAAGCAAACTAGCACGGCTACCTCTTTGAAACATATACAGCAGGGGTGAGCAATAATCTTTAAAAGGGGGCCACTTCATGAATTTTTGAAGTGGCCTTGGGTTGCCCCGGAAGGGGCGGGGCCTCAGGCAGAAGGGGCAGGGCCAGGAGTCTTTTCGTGCTCACCCACTCACAGAGCCTGATTGGCCTGGGGTGGGGGAGCGCATGAAATCTTTGCTCCCCGCCCCCGTGCCTAGAGAGAATCTCCAGTTGTTTTCCTCTGGTGCCACATGCCCCTGGTGGGGGAGGAGGCTTTGCGTGCCCCACCACCCCCAGGTGTCGATTAGCCTAGAGGTGGAGAGAGGAAGGGTGGCCACGGGCCGGATCCACCAGCTTGGCAGTCTGGATCTGGTCCACAGAGGACGTCTTGTCCACCCCAATATACAAGCATATATACTTCTTCACTAATTTTGACTGTTTAGCACTGTCCTCTGAAAGAAAGTATGTGAGTTGCTTATCACTAGATCTTTGCTCAGCTGTTAGCTTTCAGCTCAGATATCTCCACAGCAGGAGTTGGCCATGAATAAATAGGCGGAGTAAAGGATGGACATGGTTATAGTCTTTTTCTGGTGTGCTGGTTGGCAACCTAACTTGCGGGAAAACAGAGATAGATACTTGCTACACACATTTGAATAATACAATTAAATTCCGACAAATTCCTTATTTGACAACTCTGTTTGGCATAGTATATAATACAGTTCGAAATGCATTAAATGTTTAACTCCTTCACAGACAAGGAACAAGAGAGCTCTTGTTAGCTGCACCAGCATAACATATTATTTAAAAAAGAATAAAGTAAAAGGGGATAACCTTCATTCAGAAACAAAAGTGTAGGAGGAGCTTGGATTTTATTAGAAACTTATGAAAATGTAGCTTCTTTAATGAAACTCACCTAAGACAATAACATTCACTTCCTTGGTTTTGACTGTTCTGTCATAGCAGTTGCATTTGTATGTGCCTTCATCCTGAATTGTTACCTTAGAGAGGCTGATAGATAATTTATTCTTTGAATAATGGATAAGCTTGTACCTTTCATCTTTTAAACCTGTAAGTGGAGAAAGAATGGCATATTAAGTGCATTGGTACATACGAGCAACATGGGTAATCAAAGGGATAACAAATGATATGGGCTCTACTTGTCAGGTGTAAATGACATTCTTTTTCATTTATTTGCTCTCAATCTTTAATGAACAGTTCTAGTGCTAGCCATTCTTAGCTGGATCTGGGAAATAGGGAGATATATCAGTAAATTAAAAGTGGTTTATATGTGGGGTGGATGGAAAGTCATAACATTTCCTGTGTGTTTTAAAGCTCAGAAAGAAGTTTGGTTTGAGAGGCAGGTGGGGCTTGTGGGTAAAACCTTGTTCTTGCACTCAGGAAACTACAGTGCCATCCCTGGCTCTGCCACAGACTTCCTGTGTGACCTTGTACAAATCTCTTTGCCTCAGTTTCCCATCTGTCAAGTGGGGCTAATGTTATTTATTTACAGTGCAGTAGTGCTTACAGGCCCCATCCTAGTCTGAGGCCTTATTGTATTTGCTGCTGTAGAGATACACAGTAGACAGCCTCTCTGCTCCAATAAGTTTTAGAGTTTAAAGAGACAAGACAGAGAAAGGGCGGATGGGTAAATAGAGGCACAGGGAGATGAAGTGGGATTAGAACCAGGCTCATGAACCATCCACTAAACCACACCAGCTTCTCTAAAACGTCCCTGCCTCACAGGGGAGAGTTGTGAGACTAAATTCCTTGCTGTTTGTTAGGGGGGCTCTTAAACGACACTGGTAATTTGGGTAATTCTGAGTCAGGTAAATTTTAAGAAAAGTTGGCAGGATTATGAAGCGATGCCCTGGAAGGGGCAGTACCATGAAACAGTGCACATAGGGCTAGGACTGCAGATACTGGGGTTCTAGTCCCCCTATGAGACTGACTCACTGTGTTTCTTTATGCACCATCTCAAAGTGCTGGGCCTGTTTCCCAATCTCTAAAATGGGAGTGGAATTACTTACTGCTCCACACTGAAGTATTAATGTGTTATCTGAGTCTTGCCTAATTAGTTGCCCTTTAATGAGACACCTTCCTGGAATATCCAGAGCTCTTAGCCAATTCATATCTCTGTAGGACTTACAAGAAGTTCCTTCCCTCTTTCTCCTATGTGACCCATGAAAATCCTGGGGTTGAATCAAGCCCGTCACATACACTCTCACCACAATCACAACACAGAAAGTAGTGGTCTGCCTTTAAAGTGAACTGAAATTGAGGAAATGGGCCGTCCATTAGGAAGAGTAACAGATCTCAGAAACTTGTTTTCAATTTTTTTTAGCTGAGGCTTTTTAAGGCTTTAAAAATATTTAGGGGATCGATGGAATTGAAGATGTTTTAATTTCTGGACAGGACTAACTATGAAAAAAATAATTTAAAAATCACTCTCGTGTAAACTAGGGCTGTGTCTACATTGGCAAGATTTTGCGCAAAAGCACTTGCTTTTGCGCAAAAAGCTGCAGCCTGTCAACACTGGCCACGAGTTCTTGCACAAGAACACTGACGTTCTAATGTAAGAAATCAGTGCTTCTTGCACAAGAACTATGATGCTCCCGCTCAGGAAAAAGCCCTCTACACTTGCGCAAGAGGCCAGTATAGACAGGCAACATATATTTCTTGCGCAAGAAAGCCCGATGGCTAAAATGGCCATCAGAGCTTTCTTGCACAAGAGAGGGTCTACGCTGGCACGGATGCTCTTGCACAAAAGCACATGCCAGTGTAGATGCTCTCTTGCACAAATACTTTAATGCAAAAACTCTTGCGTTAAAAGTATTTGCGCAAAATCTGGCCAATGTAGACGTAGCCTAGATGTTTAGTTTTTGACATATGGAATAAGAAAGGATTCATTAAGCCATGTGTCATATTGCTTCTTTGAACAGAGGTTTATGGGGATAAGATTGAGAATGCAAATGCACACGTATGGCATAATGGTGAACCTTTTTTGGGATGGGGGCTGCTGACCCACAGAAAAACATTGCCACCCTGGCATAAAGTTTTGTTTCTACACTAACATGGGGGGGGGGGAAGAGGGAGGAAGCAAAAATACTGTTATATTAGACTTATCAAGTACTTTACAAACACTAACCCTCATGTTTAATAACAACATAATATTATACACTCTGTAAGGAGATTATCACATGCCATAGCAGAGGAATAGACTGTGGGTCAAATTCTCAGCTGGTGCAATATTATCAATGTTTTTTTACTGACTTCAGTGAAGTTATACGGACTGACTCTAGCTGAAGAGCTGGGTTTCTAGATTCCTAGGGTGATCTTCCATCCTAAACTACTATCACACCCCTTTGAGATTGGAAAATTGAATTGGACAAAAATTACAAAAGCATGTATGTGATTTATGAGCTAAGATAGTAATAAATGAATAAATCATCATAATAAATAATAATGATGGTGATATTTAAAAGGTTAACAGGGTATTTCTTTTGGAAATGTTTGCAAAATGTATTGAATATATTATCTGACAAATATATTTTTCAGCAAATTTATTCAATATTTTGCAGTTGTCCATTCACCTGTCATATTGCTGATGATTTTAGCCAAAATTCTCAACCTATTGGGGTTGGATCCTCAGTTTATGCTGAATTTCAGTGGGAGTTGGGTGCTGGATTCCAGTTGTTTTCAGTGAACCCAGCAGTCCTAAGTCACTATGCTAGGCTCTGTACAAATACATAAAACAAAGACCTTCCCTGTCCCACAGAGCTCCCAGTCTAAGGAGAGACAAGGTGGAACTGGGGGCCAGACAGATGTGGGGGGAGGACAACGAGGTAGCAGTAAATATGGGCATGTCCGCATTAGTTAACTATCTCCATGGCTATAACGTTCACAAGCTTCTTCTCAAAAGAGTTGCTTTTTTAATAAGTAAAAAACCAATGTGGATTCTTAAGCAAGGAACACTTGGAACCTTCTAGCTCAGCTAAATCAGACACAATCTGCAGCATGTTCAGGTCCCTTCACACAGGGGCGGGTTTTGAGCTGGGACGATGGTGTTAGTGGTAAATACCGTTGGTTGCCTGAGGCCCTGCTTACAAACCACTCTGGTGGGGTTTCCATTTAATCAACTTCCTGTAGGAAAGTGACTGAATTCATAAACACTCTAACGGGGGGCCTGTAGGTGAGTCAGATCTTGCAGTATGTGGGAGATAAAAAGTCCACCTATGAATGACCCTCTCCTACCAAATGGAAAGTACCCGGGGTGCAGGTTTTGACACTTACCTCGATTGTTGTTTAGAAAAATAATAAACCCCCGAGGGTTTACCCATTCCAGGGCAAATTCGTGGCCCCTGGGAAAAGCACAGGGTAGGCTTAAATCCTGCCCTTCCTCCACAGTGACAGTTTCAGTGTGAACCTCTTGAAAATCCCCTGCCGAAGAAAAACAGTTGTGAAACGTGATGTGAGGCAAACTGAGAGCATTTCCCCACAGTGCAATACCCCAGCCTGCTGCTTTTTTGAAAAAGACTTGTCTACAGGGGGAACCTTACCAGCATAACTGCACTGATACAATTGTACATTTACAGCAATATAACTCCCCATGTAGATACACTCATGTGTCCACACTGCAAGTTATATGGTAAATTTCCTCCTGTAGACAGGCCCCAGACCCACTTGTCTGGCCCATGAAAGCTCATCATCTATTAAACCATCTTGTTAGTCTTGCATGCATAGTTTTTCCTTTTGTTTTAGCAAGATCAGACTAACACGGCTACCTCTCTATTACTATTCAGGATGGACAATGGCATGGTATTCTTCCTCGTTCCACGGATGTGCCACTTGATCTAATCGAGGTGCCCCTGTGGCCTTCAACTGCTGTAGGTACCTGTAGACTTCAGTGTTATAAGTATATTTATCCCCTCAGTGTTCCTGTCAGGCAGGGAAGTGGCATTATCCACATGTTACAAAGTGGGAGGGGAGGCGTAAAAACACTTCAGTCCAGATTTAAAAGTATTTAGGTGCCTAAATTCCATTAAAATCAATTTTCTAAATGTCTTTGAGGCTACTGGGCTCAGTGTCTGTGGCAGAACTCAAAATTGAGCACGTCTTGAAAGCCTTAGCCTGCAGCCTTACTCACACAGCCATCTTTCCACAGCCCTCCCATGGGTAGCCTGAAGTTCATTTGTGGATGAGAAGAGCATTCTGTGTTATTACCTGTTTGATCTTGGGATGCTCTACTGAGACTCCCCATGGGACTGATGCGTGTGGCAATGGTTTGTAGTGTTGCACACCTGTTTACCACAAATGGGCCTCTCAGTTTATTTCACACAAGCTATCAAAGAGCCAATAATAGGAGAAATTGATGAATCCGTGCACAGAGCTTTGTAGTGACCAGCCTTGGCCAGAGTTGTGTAAATGACTGTAAGATCGAAGCGCTATATTCCCATTGCCTGTCATTGTAGAGATGTTAGATCGCATGTCATTGATAGTTGTGTAGCCGCATGACATTTTAGTGGTTACGCGACTATTTGATGGTCCCCACGGGTGTACTGGCAGCCAGTGTGCTCGCAGCCCCCCTCCGGGGGAAGCCCTCCGCCACCCTGCACTAGAGGCAGCAGCGTGGGGTGCCAGGTGAGAGCTGGTCCTTGGGAGGGAGCCAGTTTAAAAACTGGCTCCCTTGGCAGCCCGGCCGCCTGCCGCCAGAGCTGGCCCAAGCTACAGGCTGATCGGGCTACCACCCTGCCTGCCACCCCGCGCTGCTACCTCTGATACAGAAGCAGCAGCGTGGGGTTGCAGCAACCCCTATCCACGGGGGGGTCCGAGCTCCTCGCGGACAGAGGCTGCTCTGCATCCCATGGGGCAGCCCCTGTCAGCGGTGAGCTCAGTGATAGAGACAGCAGTGCGGGGAGGGGGGGAGGGCAGAGGGCAGGAGCAGGAGGGACTGCAGAGCAAGTGCTGGAGGGAATTGGCTTTTAAGCCAGCCTCCTCCCCCTAGCTGTGTCTGTAGGAAGCATCAAGGAAGACAGGTGGGTCTGTGGGAGCCTATCCATGTGGGGAGTTGCCTTGAAAGCCGGCTACCCTGCCTGTTGGGGGTAGCCTGCCCCCCCCCCCTTCACCCTCTGGCTGCTGCCTCTCTATCAGAAGCAGTGTGTGTGTGTGTGTGTGTGTGTGGAGGGGGAATGCGTTTAGTTGACAAGATTAACCGATTAGCTTAAGCTTATCGTTAATCATGTAGTCGTCTAAACCAGTGTTTCTGAAAGTGTTCCACAGAATCACTCTCAGAAACACATTAACTGGCTGCTGCGGTTTGTTTATTTACCGGCGCCATAGCCACGGAGCCTCGCGGATCCGTTTTGTCCTTTGCAGCCAAGGGGAGTCGTGGGAAGCGATATGGGCTGGGCTACCATTTCTCGCAGCTCCCCTTGGCAGCAAAGGGCGAAACAGAGCCAAAGGGAGCCACGAGGCTTCCATTGGCCATGCCGCTGGTAAATAAACTGGGGAGGCCACTTAATGTGTTTCTGAGAGTGGTTCCACAGAACACTTTCAGAAACACTGGTCTATACGATGACATCCCTACGCTATTGTGCCCAATTTTCAGAAATGGTGAGCACTCACAACTCCAGTTGAAATTAATAATAGCTGTGGGTGCTCTGTACCAATGTTCCCTCTAATTTTTCCATATATGTGTAGAATGACTTTTGTTACATGCACCAAAGTATGTGCAGATGTGCACCACCAGTAGAAACAAGTGCTACCTGCTGTGGGCACAATGCTAATCAGCTGGGCAGCACCTGAATCTCTCCTGGCTGGCTGTCCAAGCACTCAGCTTACAGGGAACACTACTCAGCACCCCTGAATAATCAACCCTTTTATATTCAAAGATCTAGCTCTTCAGTTGCAGTAAATTGGTACTGTGCTTCACTGAAGTCAGTATATGAGGATCTAGCCAAACATATTTGACTAAAAAGAAATTGCATTCTCCCCTCTCAGATTATTTTATAGTGCAGCAATAAAGTTAGTTTCTTTTCCAGCTGGAATTGATCATGCTGAGATAGATAACATACTGTGTGAAAATGGCCCTAAATGTTTTTTGGCCTTCTCCAGATGTGTTGGAGAAATTGCCAACAGCAGTATCTGTGTCAGAGCTAAGTGAACAGGCAGTTAAGGGAATGTACTTATCCGGGTTTTTTAAAAGTAGCTGCCTGCAGCAAGTTGTTTGCCAGAGGGTGAGAGTGTTGTGGTAGTGAATCTGCCTGGGTTGCATAAATAGGAAACATTTTATTTTCTTAAAAGAATTAAAAATGGCTATCTTGGGTTCTTGGCTACTAAAGGCAACAGGAGGTTTTCTACTGACTTCAGTGACAGCAAGATTGGGCTCACTGTTGGGAGGTCATAGATGTGGAAATCTGTCATCTATGTTCCACTCCGTCCTAATTCAGCATCGCCCAGGCAGAGGGTAATGGTTAACCACGTAGCTGGGAGCTCTCATGGAAAGCAAACTTCGTCCCCAGAGTAGATCAGTGAAAACTGAGCTGGAAGCAACTTTGGTTTTTTGTATCAATGGGGCCCTTACTGTCCAGGACACAACTTTGCAGTGTACTCTGGACAAAACCAGCAAGCACTGAGCTTTTCCTTGCACATGAAGGAGTGACTTATCGGCTGTGTCTACACTGGCCACTTATTCCGGAAAAGCAGCCGCTTTTCCGGAATAACTTGCCAGCTGTCTACACTGGCCGCTTGCTTTTCTGGAAAAGCAATGATGATCTACTGTAAAATTGTCAGTGTTTTTCCGGAAAAACTATGCTGCTCCTGTTCGGGTAAAAGTAGTCCCGGAAAAAGTGCTTTTCTGGAAAAGCATCCTGCCAATGTAGACGCTCTTTTTCCGGAAATACTTATAACAGAAAACTGTTCCGTTTTAAGCATTTCCGGAAAAGGGTGCCCGTGTAGACGTAGCCATCCAGTGCAAGCCAATCGTTTGTCCTCTCCAAACAGTCCTATTAATTGTTGATTGTAAGAAGATACGGGGGCTGAGTTTTCTCTTGCTTATATTGTTTTATTCAGAGAAATGCTGCTGACTTCAGTGGCGTTACTCCTGATTTTCACCAGTGTGAGAACCCAACCATAGCTACTGGTCTTGAAGCAGCAATAAATTCAAGAAACTCCTATCACCCGTGTGCAGGAGCTCAGGCGAGGTGGGACACAATGGTCCCTTATTGTGGAATCTATAAATTGGGATGGGTTTGTAAATTCTAATTCTTTCCCCATTATTCAGCACTATCATGACACACGGGCAAATTATTCAATTCACGTGATTCAACAGATGTGATTTTTTTAGCTGCTGAGTTTACTTCCCAAACAATAATGACCAAGGCTGTTTAATAGATGCCTTTGTAGGAGACAAGCAGATAGTGACAACGTTAAGTACACTGTGCTTTCTTTTAACCATTTTAACATCTCTATAGAGCACAGAGACCAAAACTATCCCAAGAAAAGGAACACAAGAAATTATGATTGAGGAAAAAGTTGGTGCTGTTGGTGTTTCTCTTTGCTAGCAATTTAGGCTCTATTTAAGTGTCTCAGCCTTGCATTTGTCTACGCGTTACTTTTGATATTTCCATCGCCCAGTATTAAATTGGGTTTGAAACATAAAAGGATCCTTATAAGATGGCAATAACAAGGAGCTGGTTCTCTAGGTTTCGTGGCTCTGGGAGGTGATTGCCCCAGACTGGGTGGCAAAAGAAAACATTCCTTTTGTGAAGCTCCTGCACTTTCTTCTATAAAGTGCGTCACCAGGTTCAGCTTGTTAGAGTAGCTGAAGTAGCCCTGGCTGTGGTTTTCCACAGGGCCTTTCTGCATCTTTACTATTTCCTGTCACTGACATTGGCGTGGGGGGTCTGTCAGCTCACACTCTTTGAGGTGAGAGAAACTAGACTCTAAATAGGAAAGCATGTTTAAAAAAAATAGACTTAACCCTTGCACTGAACACACGCAGACTTTCCATGTGAGACACTGGGATGTCCACCAGCATGACTCATGGGCTGAATTTTCCTCCCTGTCCGGGGGCAGCATTGCACGGTTCCTAAAGCCATTGTAGCTGGACACACACAAGTTTTGATTGTATAGGGAGATATTTGTGTGACCCCCATTCCCTATGGACAGTGTAGGGGATGGAATCGGGGTCATCTCTGTGCTTCATTGATTCCCAAAAGATCCAAAGACCCCCGGAGCAATTGGAACCTGAAGAAAACTAAAGCAATCTCTAGGTTATGCTGAATTATGCCGTGGGAGTCAGAGACCGTATTTTGTCTCCTCCATCTCTATGAATGGGAGGAAAGGACCTTTCTGCAGCATTGTTCTTTCATCCAGCCCTGTGGAAATTAATCCATGGGGATTTGGAGCTGCAGGGGGGGGAAAGCAGGGCTGGTGGGAAAGCAGAAGGTATTATCTGCATATTGTTCTGTCATATTATCTTACTTGCTTTCCCCTCATGAATGGCTGAACTGTTCTTTTCGGTGAGTGCTCCCAACACACTGTCCAATAGGGAGTTCTTGGCAGTCCTACCCCATCAGGGTTGCACCATGCTCTAGAGAAGTTGGGAATCAAGTCACCTCATTAATATCTATAGGCACACGGGGACCAACTGCCACAACAGCCTCAATACTGAGGTAATGTGAATTTATTCAGTCACCTTTGTTCCCATCTTCCTTCCAACCCTCATGCAAACACATTCAGTTGTGACTCGTCATTGCATGTTTATTGATGTAAAACGTGTGGATTCGTTTTTAGGGTGCAAGGTGTGAATTTGGCAGCCAGTTCCAGTCGCTCAGCACCTCAGCCATCTGGGCTTTGGCAGACGCCTCTTTGGGAAACCCAATTTATGTACCTATGCCAATTTCCTGGTTGCTAGCTGGTCACCAGCCCTGTTCCACAGAACAACACAGAGACCATGTGCTGGAGTACAATCCATTCCCCCCCCTGGGGAAAACTGGAGAGCAAGAGGCATCAGGATTGGGATGAATGGAGCTCTCTGGGCTATTGTTTCAAATTGTCCTCAGATTCATACAGAAATCTCAGCCACAGCCAACATTCAGTTCATGTTTTCAACATTATCTTGATTAACAGCAAGGCCAGAAATAGCATTTACAAAGAAAAGTGAGATTCTGGCGCACAACTCTGCAGCAGGGAGTGAATTCTGTGGCAAATTTAATAACCCCAGAATACACGAGGTTCTGCTTCTGACTTCTTTGTACAGCAGAACCTCCCTTCCCTGACTCCTGGGAAAGTATAACAGGATTTTTGCAAATTCCCAAGTAGTAGTTAGCCCCAAAAGCTTGCCCACTGCCTTAGGTAATAACTTAATAGTCAGATCTCAGGATTCCCTGTATTCCCTAGGTGTTCCCTAGGGTTAAGTAGGAGCACTGCAAATACTAAGATAACCGTATCTATTTAATTTAAGATAAAAATGGCCAGTTTTAAAAGTCAGCACTTAGTGAACAAGCACAAGCAATAATAATGCCCCAGCACTGCAAGGATGGTGTAATGTAAAGTGCATTTTATCTGTTTGCTTATGTCTGGACTCAGATTCACAACATACTTGCATGGCAGCGTCTTTTGCACTATTACCAAAGTCTTAGTAAATGAGACCTTACTGCAGTTTCTGCTCTTGTATCTTTGTCAAGAAGGGGGGAAAGACTGTGCTATTGGGGCTTCTACTGAAGTCACTGTTGCGGTCAAGCATGGATCAGGAATGGAACCTGTCCGTGTCCTTCAATGCAAGTTATTGACTTGCATTGGCCTTTGTTTAAATGTGGTCATTATTTGATATGTCCACGGGCAATTCTTGCACCCATGCTGGTGTGTGAGAGTGATGAGAGGCAGGTGAACAACATGTGAAATAGGTCTACATTCTGCAGTAAGAGTATTAATACCAAGTCTTCATATGGTGAGCTGTGTTCTCAAAGCACTCTCTAAATATGTGCTGCTAGGGTAACCTAGCCTTGTTCACCTGCAAGGTAGCTGCTTTTTGCCCTATTTTACAGATAGGCGAATGGCGAGACGTAAATCATGTAAGGCCCATTTGTGAGCCAGAACCCCCTGACCTCTATACTGTGTTTCCAAGACCTGTAGGGCAAATGATTCTCTTTGGGTTTAACCATTAACCAGGACTGAGTAGCCCTTAGGTACAGAAAGGCTTGGTGACAATGGTGCAATGCAGCTCATAATCAAAAGCATTCTGGCAAGTGATGCAGTGAAGTTTTGTAAACAAAATAATGTAGTTTAAAATCTTTTAAGCCAGGCAACAATGCAATTAATGTCTCTTACCTTGCAGCGGTAACAAAGCCACGATACACAGCACGGTGGTGAAAGTCATCTTGTAAATATAGCCCGTCTGCTATGCTGCTCCAACTTCCTCTTCACTTTAGAAGCTCAGACTTGCAGTCGATTCCTTTTCAACGGGGTGAGGAGCAGGGCTGCCGTGACTTCATCCGCCCCAATGTCACTGCCTCCCTCTTCCTCTTCTGCTGCTCCCACCTACCATCATGTCTTCTTGCTGAGGGTTTTCCTCAGCTGTGACCAATGGAGAGATCGCTGTGTGACCCCATGTGTTCTAAAATTATTAAACCGTGGGTTGACGGATGCTAGAGTCTATGACTATGTGCCCACTTGAACTCAAATGTCATAGGGGCTGCATCCCACTTATGCTCTGTGGGAAAAGAAGCATAGCAGGCGAGGGGGGCAATGATAAAAAGAAATAGAGTCCTGGAAGGCATAGCTACTGGAAAAAAATATGCAGTGGAGTTGTGGCGAGCCATTGAACCGAACTATACACCTGGAATATGATGGGAACCACTTCAGGACAGGGGGTGTGGCAGCCACAGCACCCCTACCTCTAGCACCTATGCTGAGAGGAGCATTAAGAGGTGTCAAGAAGTTTCAGCAGAAGGAATCCTCCTGGGAGTCTGGCAGTGAAGGATTGGCATTTGAGGAAGGATGGTCAGGTGATTAAGCCTTAGAACTGGTTTCAATTCCTGGTTCTACCCCAGGCTCCCCTGTGTGAGCTAGGGATTAGGGCTCAATTTTTAACTCTATGTAGGTGCCACAAGGGGCAGGTGGGTGCTTAGTGGAAAATTCAAAAGCTCTCAGATTCGAAGATTTTCAAAATGGTGAACTTTGGGAAAATCCCAGCAGGCACCATTAATTCCTTCTTTTCTGCAATAAGCATGTAACAGTCTTACAAATGGTCTCATCACATAAGGCAAGTCTAAACGACATTTCTCTTTCGAAAGTGGAATGTAAAGGAGGCCACTCAAATTCAAATGAAGAGCAGATTTACAAATGTCACGCTTCATTTGCATAATTGTGTGAGCGCTTTTTCGAAAAAGGGTTTTTCGAAGAAGAAATTGCAGTCTAGATGGGGTTCTTTCGAAAAAAACCCTTTTTCAAAAGAACCCGTACACCTCATTTTTTCTGGTGTACGGGTTCTTTCGAAAAAGGTTTTTTTTTTCTCCCAAAGAACCCTGTCTAGACTGCGATTTCACGCAATTATGCAAATGAAGCGCGAGATTTGTAAATCTGTGCTTTATTTGAATTTTCAATTGGTCTCATTTACACTCCTCTTTCTAAAGAGGAATGTAGTTTAGACATAACCTGAGTGGTAAGACAAGGGAGAGTCAAAATCAGAGCACAAAAGAGGAGGCATGGGGGGTGGAAAATGTTACTACAATCCAAAACAAAACAAGCCCTTCCCATTCAAGGTTCTCTTTTTGTTTTAATAATGATAAGCCTTGATAATCACTGATAGGCCTTGTCTATACTACATGGGGAAATCAACACTGTATTAATTGATCCATTTATTGTTGATTTATCATGTCTGCTGTAGATGTGATAAATCGATCTCCGAGCACTCTACCATCGACGCTGGTATTCCACCAATAGCAGAAGAGTAGCTGGTATCGACAAAAGAAGCTGCCCCCACCAACCTTACGCACGCAAGACACTACGGTGAGTATATCGACTTCAGCTACGTTATTTGCATAGCTGAAATAGAGCAGTGCTAGTAACTTCAGACAACGCCATAATTTGTTTACTCTTACATGCAATGTAAAAAGAAGGGGCTCATGGACATATCTGCAACCCCTTTTCTAAGGCAATCTGAAAAGTCAGAGAAATACTACTCTAAATCAGTGGTCACCAACCAATAGATCGGGATCTACTGGTAGATCTTGGAGCCTCTGAGAGGTGATCCTGACTGGTTTGGCCAAGAGGCTGTCAAGTGCAGCACTTCAGCTGTCTCCCCCCACTGCTGTGCAACTCCTGCCCTTTGCTTTGGAGCTGTTCCCCTCTCCCACCCTGTATTCTATATCCACAGAACGGGGGTGGGGTACACAACAGGACTTGGGATTCAGTTTGCTGGCTGCTTTAGGGAGTGGTGCAGGGCCAGGGCAGGGGTAAGCCTGCTTTAGCCTCACTGCACCACCACCCAAGAGCCACTTGTGGTAAGCAGTGTCCAGCTGGAGCCTGCATCATGAACCCCTGTCCTCGTCATGTACCCCCCAAGTCTCTGCCCCAGGCTCAGCTCAGAGCCCTTCTCATACTCCAAATCCCTTAGTCCAAGACCAGAGACTGCACCCCAAACCTCTGCCCCTGCCTGATGAAAGGGAGAAAGGATGGAGTGAGCAGGGGAGGGGCCTTGGAATAGGGGCAAGAAGGAGTTGGGGCAAAGGTACTGGAGTTTGAGATAAATCCTGGATTGCACTTAAATTCAAAAAGAGATCGCATACTTTAAAAGGTTGGAGACCACTGCTCTAAATTATTAGGGTGCAATTGACCTATGTCAGAAAACCAGCAAATCACACCAAAGCCCTCTACTCTATCCACAAGGGTGTGTTTCATCCATAGGCTTTACCTGAATGCTTGCTTTCAGACTCATTGCTTGGACTACATATGTAGTACATCACAAAACTGTAAACAGGAAAGATTTACTGTGGGAGTGTGTCATTTTCATTAAATCAGCTGTGAGCCATTTGGTTTAACTTTTGAGAAGTCCATTTAATGTAACAAGCAAATTAAAATGGCATGATTGTTTCAACAGTTGTTAGCACTAGAAGTAGAAGATTAAAAAAATAAAACAAATACAGATGCCACAGGTAATTACAGTGATTTTTTGGCAATACAATTTTTTTTAAAGTTAAACATTTTTTTCAAATAAATACAATCTGATCACACTGAAAACATAGTAAACATAACAATACATCAGCTTAAAAATGAAAAAAAAAATCATCCATTGATAACATCAAGTTTTTAGAACTGCCTACAGAGAGAAACTTCAGAAAATACTTTCTTAGGTTAACTGCCTACAGAGAGAAACTTCAGAAAGTACTTTCTTAGGTTATGTCTACACTGCAACACTATTTCGAAATAACTAGCGTTATTCCAAAATAACTTAGTCTGCATCTACACAGCAAGCAGTTATTTCAAAATAGTGTCAAAATACTGTTAAGCTGGAGGACTTCTTACTCTGACTCCTGTAACCCTCATTTTAGGAGGAATAAGGGAAGTTGGAGGAAGAGTGCTCTGTTTCGAAATAAGTGCTGTGTATATCCTCCCTATTTCGAAATAAACTATGCAATTGATGTAGCTCAATTTGTGTAGCTTATTTCGAGTTAAGCCCTGCAGTGTAGAAGCACCCTTTAGTGGCAACAAAAAAAGTTAATAAAAAGGATCTGGTCATATATTTTCCAATCCCTTATATGTATTTTCATAAATATTCAATCAGTAAATGTGTTCAGATATTCGAGGCAGCAATGACAACTAAGTGGCATATTAGAGTGTATGTAGCCAATTGCATTTACAGTTTGATTATTCACTCATACATCATTTTAAATGTGCCTGTTCCTGGCATAATTTCCTATCTATTTAAGAATCAAATATTTTCCTCTACGTTTAGGCTCAATTTATAATCAGTAATTCCTACTGACTTTCAATATGTTTTAAATTTTGAAGTACTGCAAATCAATTTTCAATCCTGTGTTTAAATGTGAAAATTATTTGGCAACTGATGGACTAAAATAGTCTACATCTCTCTTGTTAAAATGAATATTAACTTAAGCAGATGTTAAGTTTTCCCCGTATCCCACACGTGAGCTATTGAGATTTTCCTCCCATCCTCTTCATGCATGGACAGGACTGCAATTTAAATGCAAATTCTGGGTGCTACCAAAGTTCACAGTAGTGTGTGTAGAGTTGGCCACTGCTCTGAAGGATGCTGGAATGAACTGTAGTTCATCTGCGTTTGAGGATGTTCATTATTTAGTGTAAATTTAAAGGAGCAATTCATCACTTTTTTAAATGGTATACTCAAGTAGCAATGCAGGTAGGTGTAAAAGCAAATGCCTCAATTCACTGAACAAAGAATGATGTTCACAACAGAACAGACCTGAACGAATCTAATTTCATCTTCAACTAGTTCCTAATTCAAGGGAACATCCCTGTTCAGGAATGTTCTTAAGTACCTCATTAATGTCCATTGAAGTCAACAGCTTTTGAACACACGCATAAATGTTTTCCTGAATCAGGGCCAATTGAAATAAAAAATATCAGTATAGTATGCTAACAGCTAGTTTAGTGGAAATGCTGCCAATAATAATAATAACTATATCCCCGAACTTTCTTTAAAAATAGAGGCACGCAATATGCAGTTAAGCAGACAACATCTAAGTCCTTACAGTATTACAACCTGAAGGAGACAGGTCTGTTGATAAAAATAATATATTAGGTATTAACTCTGGAATTATTTCTCCCCCCATTTGAGGGGTGGGGGAAAGTTGGTTTTAGTTTTGTTTGGCAAAACTATTTATTTTTTTCTTCAGAAAGAGATTTTTTTTATATCACTCACTCTTTGGTTTTAATATATTATCCCCGTAATAATAATAATAAAAAGAAGCTAATTCCACAGGAAAAAATAAAAAAATGCTAGCCATTAGTTGGCCATTAATTTTCAATTTGCTTAGATTCCATGTAATGGAAAACACTGCATTCTAAAAATAATGGGTCACATCTTCTGCTGATGTAAATGGAAATAGTTCCATTGATTTCAGTAGATTAAATCCATGTATAGTGGATAAGGCCTGGCCTGAAAACTACTTAGGCCAGGTCTACACTAAAGGGGAAGGTTGGATTAAGATATGCAACTCCAGTCAATATCTTAATTCGAGTTTCCCTGCCATTCCCACAGCTGGAGGCCAATGGGAGCAAATGCTCCCATCAGCTTCCCTTACTCATCGCAGGACAAAGAGAACCAGCTGCCAAAGGGGGCACCTTCTCCGCAGGACAAAGAGAACCAGCTGCCAAAGGGGGCACCCTCTCAATTTGATTTAGCAGGTCTTTACTAGACCTGCTAAATTGAACTCCAGAAGATCCATTGTGGCAGCATCCATCTTCCTTGGAATGAAGACAAGGCCTTATAGAATGTAAGCAATCGACTGTTGCTACCAGTATATTGATATTGAGGGAAACTCATGAAAATGTAGCACCTGATACCTGCATTAACACATCTGATTATTCCCACGGACAATGGACAAAGCAGTATATTGCTAAAGTTACTGGAAACTATGCACATTTTGTCTGACACAGATTAGAGTGTTCTAGGTAAGGTTTCATATATTGCAGTGGGCTCTGTATAGGGCAGGGGCGGGGAACTTTTTTTGGGTCAGGGGCTGCTGACCCACAGAAAAAAATCAGTTGGGTGCCAAACTGGGGAGGTAAGGGAGGAGTCGACTAGTCCACTGCCCGATAAGCACATGCTTATTGGATAGTTGAGTCGACTACTCGCTTCCCTCCCCACTTGGGGAGGAACTGGTGCTCGGGGGAGCTGGCTTAAAAGCTGGTTCCCTCCAGCACTGTCTCCGCAGGGTGGGTGAGGAGCAGGAAGTAGTCAAAATTCCATACACTACTCAATTAGCTGATTAGCTGCAATTTAACATCCCTAAGCTTCACACAAGTGAGAAGGAGAAAGCCAGACAGACACTCCCCAAATTCCCCTTGCACACCAGAGCCTAGGGTGGCCCAGATTAGTAGATTTTGTGTGCTCCGGCCCTGTGTGGAGGTAGCAGGGGGGAGTGGAGCATGAGTGCAGACTCCCCAATGCTGGGGGAAGGGCAGCAAGCCTCAGGGGTCCAGATCCAGGCAAGCTGGGAGCCACATCTGGCCCCTGGGGTTTAGGTTCCCCACCCCTGGTGTAGGGCAAGGGGAATGCATGTGTGAGCTTGCAGGAGGGAGATCAGACAGCAAGTGTGATAAATCAGGACATTTTGGGGGGCTGAAGGGTGGGAAGGCAGGATTGTCAGATATAGAAGACAAAGCCAATATTGGGACAGCTGGTCACCCTGGCTTGCAGGATCAGGGTCCATGACTGTTGCAACCCAAACTGTTCCACTTAAAGGAGGCAAAACATTCAGGTAAAGGCTCCTGAAATCTGGGAGGCTCCCACTGAGCATGACTGAAACATTTGATGAAATCAAAGAAAATGGAAAAATGATATAAAAATAGTCAATTTTCCCCTCCTGAGGCTGCTGGGTATCACCCCTTTATCTACTGCTGTGCTCAGGCCCCAGCCACATGCTACTAATTCTCATGTTATTTCTGACCAGACCCAATCTAACGATTTCTAAAGAACAACTTGTTCTTGCAAGATTTCCCGCCTTGTTCTTTAGCCGTACAAGGGTCTAAGAGCCATTGTCACTCCTTATGGGTTCAGACTGAACTGAGCAGGCCTGAAATCACTGCCATGAAGTCCAGAGAAGGAATTGCATTCATTTCAGCTGCATCAGGCCAATGTTCCCCTGGGACGAGACACCGAAGATACATTAAATACATATTAATGAACAGCAACGTAGTAAAATATAAGCAGCGATGCTCTTTTTTAAAACATTCTAATTAAAAACATTTTTAAAATATCCAGGGTTTTCCCAGTGCTATGCATTTAAATAATGTAAGATGCATTTTAAACAAAGATTCGTATCAGCACCAGTTTCCTTAATGCAAAACCCTTATTAGACAACAAAATATTGGAAGAAAACAAGATTTTTTTTTCTGAAATTCCTGACACCTGAAACTCAAACATGATATCAGATAACAATTGTCCATATACTTTTCCAAACATCTAAAAATATACTTTTGTAAGAAGAGAATGTTTTAACGTTTTTTCCTTCACTAACAGAACACGTTTTTTTAAATACTAACTCTATGCAAAGATCAATTACTATAATATTCAACAGTCTATAAATACAGGTTTTGTTCCATACCTGTTACATGCTATTGTCTAAACAAATTCCCGTAATGCTCTTTAACAATGGTCAAATCTGGATAGCTTTTCCTCATATTGCATGTTACCCCAACCTCTTGCAAGCCTGAAGCATAAAACAGTAAGTTATCAATGGAATTTAAATATACAGTGAAACCCAAATTATTTTTGGTTTGATTGTCTGTTTATTCATTTAATTAAATAAACTCCTTTGTGAGTTTGTGGTCAGTAAGCATGAAGGAAAACAAGCAATAAACACTCTTTAGAATGTCTGTACATAGCTAAAAATAGTTTAAATTATAATTAAAATAAAAATGTGACAGAAATATAACTGATGCAGTTTAGATACTGATGCAGTTTCTTTCTGTCATTACATAAGTTATCTCCCTGACTTTTCAGTATACATCCCTGGTATAATAATGCATTTATTGATGTCCTGCCATTTATTACATATATTGTAAATGTACAAATATTAGACTACTGCTATGGTTATGACAATGTACATATTGCACAAGATGAGCTGTTTGTTGACTTAAATTCTATACAGATTTGCTGTATATTCCTTGGCAAGGAATCACAAACTAGACCAAACTTAGCTTAAAACCCCTAGCACTTGATCTTGCCGTTGCCATATGGACTTAATTTCCATTGAAGCTGGTGGGCCTTTTGCCTGTATCACATATGAAAGATTAGGCCCTCTGATTTTATGTCACTGTGATAATATTGAATGTGTGGCCAAATCCCAGTCCCACTGAAATTGATGGGAATTCAGTTACTGACAGGCTTACCTTTTAACAGGATTATCACCTCCTCCCAAAAATGGACATTTATATGGATAACGAGAATAAATTATGGCCAGGAAAACTATTCAGGACAGAGCTTAACTCCCATAATAAGCATGTGTTTTAGTGTTTTCCTGAATTGGAGCCTAAAATAGTAAATATTTTTACAAAATAATTTGAGAACCCTCATGGTTCAGAGCATAAGACAGCCTCTATACTGTTGTAGGTCAGGAAGGAACTTTCCTTGGAGGCAGGTTATCCCTGAAGCAGTTGATGTTGGCCACTGCCAAAGAAAGGATGCTGGACTTAAAACACTAGGTCTGATCTAGAAGTTCCTCATGAGTTCAGTGGGATCAAGATTTTAGCTAAACATGAAATAAATCACCTCATACGTAACATGTTCATGGGCCCATGTGTTACTTTTTTCAATCACTGTTCTGCTTTCTATGTGTGACAGGTGGCACTTTAAATTTTAAGGAAAGGAAGGGGGAAAACAAAACAAAAAACCCCAAATAAACAAAATTCAACCACAAAATAACCCTCCACCTTAAATCTGAATTACAAGCATTTCCTTTTGTCTGTGTCATTATCCACAGTGAAGGCTGATTATTGTAGATAGTCACTAAAGCTCTAAGAAATATTCACAAAGGTGTGAAATACACGTCTCTACAGAGGAATCAGCAAAAGGCATATAAAATCTCTATTATGAGGGTCTTAAACAGGATTTGAGTGATGCACAGATTTTATGGTCCTGTGTACAGCAGTAAATTTCAGCTAAGAAAATCAGAAAACCTTCACATTTTGAGTGCTCTTTTCATCTCCATTTAGCAAAATTGCCTGTTCGTCACTGAAAAATGATGCTATTTTTCATGTGAGAACTTCATCTCTGACAGCTTTGAAGTTCAAAATTGTGTGCTGATGCATATCAACATCATGCGTTTTAGTCTATCTTAAGCAACTGCAACCTACACACCTGTGTAATATGTAGCCACCAAATATGATAATGAAAAGGAATAATTTGATGCCAGTCTATAATTGGAATAGAGAACCCCTTTCCTTCTGGAGGTGAGACAAAGTATCTTATGGAACACATGCAGTGTAGCTATTTTAGGGGAAAACAAAATTGCTATTTAGCAAAATTTCAGAGTAATGGGGAAGATGCCAACATAGCCCAGAACAAAATTGCACATATTTGTCCTGCAACATTTTGCAAATGAAAAAGATGCAAAATTCACTATTTTCACACAGTCCTAGATGTCACTAACATGGTGCAGAAGGCAGTGAAAATTTGTTGTCTGAGTTCAGTTCAAGATGAAAAATACATCCAGGCTATTTAGCCTTAGGATAACATAGACATTTCCTGCAGTGCAGAAGCCTAGACATATAGCTATATTCTTCCGTCATATAAGCCCTTTCTTATATTCACCCAGTTTTACATGAGAACTTTTTGCATGAATGTGATTCTATAGGTGATATGCTAGAATGTTTTTGTGAACAATTCACCTAAAATGTTGTGAATATTATTTCCACTGTCATTAAACACAAGGAATAAGTGACATTCGCCAACGCTTAAAAAGGCCATTTTTTTTGTATGTTTAGGTTTGCCTATTCTTGTAGTAAGGTCTCTCGCCAGTTAAAGCCTCCAGTTGGTCCATGTGTGAGAGGGAGGATAGGGGGATCTGTGAGTTGCCAAATGCCTGTCTCTCCCAATTCTTCGCAGGAACAGAACCCCAGGTATGGAATCTGTGTCAGGAAATATTAAAATACAGAAAGGCAATGAGAAGGAAGAGATCTAGAGCAAGGGTGCAGTTTTCAAAAGAGCCCAAATACTTATGTTCCTAAGTTATTTCAACATCCCACCTCAAATGCAGAAGATATTCTGACACACAGCAGGAGTCAGGAGCAACATTGAGATTAGGGCTGGGTGAATTTTTTCAGATTTAATAATTCATTTGTTGAAAAATGCTGTTTTGGGTAAAATGCAGCAAATAGTTTTGGTTAAAAAAAAAGAGGAAATGTTTATTACAAAAAACCATCAACATTTTTACTTGTTGTTTCGAAAGAATGTTTCATTTTGACATTTAGGTAAATGTGCTTCTGAGAATATTAAAAAAAAAAACCAAGTACAAAAACAAACAAAATGCTGTTTTTGTAACCACCTGCAGGTAGATTCATACCTAGGACTTTTAGAACTTAGCGTAGGAGTTTTGATAGCTTGAGCTATAAAGACATTTTGTTTCAAGTTGAACTAAATATTTTGTTCTACATGAAAAAAAATAAAACAATTTTTTTTCAGCTTTTCATTTTGGCAAGAAAAACTGAAACATTTCCATTTTGAGTTGAACTACCAGCTTCAAAAAATCACTTTTGCAGCCATACTTTTAAAAGCATTTCACTGTGAACATAAAATATTTGAGGGCCAGACTCCTACTTTACAATCTCCACTAGATAAGCTTCGGGACACAGCAATATGTGTGTGTATGTCCAGGTCTCGTTGGCGGGCTTAACAGTCAATACAGCAATGGGATAGTGACCTGCATTCTCTGCTGGCTCATTTATTGACACAAAGGTCAGCTTGTATAAGAAAAGGTAATGAAATGAGAGGCAGAAGGAGTGCGGACGGATTTCCAGCTGCTTAGTTGTGCTTGCGGGCGTGGCACACACAGCACTATCTCCTAACATGAAGTCAAGGAAAAGGAATAAATCTGGATGCTCACAATGACATTTTAAAAATCACTTTCCTGACTATAACAAGAAGGGGGACCAGACCATAAAGCGCCATCACCCTGAAGCATAAAAGTGCAGTTGAGCCATGAAGCCCTTTGTATGTTAGTATTCATTCTCCTGTTATCTGTTGCGAAAAGGACTTATAAGCTAAGCCTCTTAAACCAATCTTCTCTACTCGCATGGTTTCTGAAGCTTGCAAAGCTCAAACAATGGCCGGAATTATCAGACACTAGAAACAAAGTCTCCTCTGGCTCATAAGGAGATTTTCATTTTTTTTTCTATCTGTTGATAATTACCTTTCTGACCATCTGTACAAAGTCCTTGGAATTCTGAGGCGATAGGCCTTGGAGCTGGCAAGTACAGGCCTCAAGAGACGAAGCATGAGCCACTATCAAAATGTTATTTCCTGCAACAAAACGAACAAACACAGATTGCTCGGAATGTAGAGAAAAAAGTTTGACGGTGCCAATAGTCCAGTGTCGCTGATTGGGATATAAGGGGAACACTGCTGCCACAGTAGCAGTAGCAGTGGTTGTGGCCGGGAGCCCTGAGCCCTTTTAAATCACCCAGATGGGCCGCAAGGCTCCTAGGCATTCACGAAGTGGTACTGCGAAGGCAGCCAAGTGGCCATGTGGAAGCCCAGGCCGTGCCAGCAGAGTGTGCCCAGCAATGCAGCTGGCAGCTTGCTGGGCACCACACAAATGTCCGGAAGAGTGCGTCCATGTGGGTTCAGCTTGTGCCTGCAGGGGGCCCATTTCTGGGGTCCAGCATTGCTTTTGGTGGGGTGGGCCTGCAACTTTCCAAGGCAAATTCTATTAGTTTGAGGCTCTTAACGATAGATTACATTTTACACAGAACAACTCAGTTGATGTATGTGGGAAAATACTGCTTATGAATAATACTTCAGAGTGCTCACAGCTTGAATTGGTTGAAAATTCTTTCATATTTGTCGGTTTGGGGACAACAAACAGCTTTGTGAAGAACACAAATATTTTAGTGAAAAGATTTTGCCTGCTTTGAAATTTTTGATTTTTCGAATGATCCAGATTTTTTGGGGGGAGGAGGGGTGGAATCTCAGCAAAAGTTATTTCAAACTAAAAAGAACATTTCATGTCATTTGAAATTTTTTAATGGAAAATAACTATAATTTTCAGTCAGCCCTAGTTCTGGCCAACATTTTCAAAGCCATCAGAGGGGTAGCTGAGTAAGTCTGTAACTGGGAAAAACTTTAAAAACAACAAATGGTCTAGCAGCACCTTAAAACAAGCAAAACATGAAGGTTGTACCTACAAAAGCTCATGATATCAAACTACACGTTTTGTTAGTCTTTAAGGTGCTGCTAGACCATTCGTTGTTTTTTAAGATTTTCAAACCCAAGCTGTCTAAAGTTTAGTCAGTCGTCTAAATAAAATCACCCTGATTAACAGAGATGCTAACACTCATAGGGTACATCTACACTACAACGTTAATTCGAACTAACTTAGTTCGAATTAGTTAATTCGAACTAAGCTAATTCGAACTAACGGATACAGACTAAAAAACTAGTTCGAATTAGCGTTTTGCTAATTCGAACTAGCATGTCCACATTAAGTGGACCCTGAACCAGGCTTAAGGATGGCCGGAAGCAGTGCCGGCAGGGCATCAGAGGAGGACTTAGAGCGTGGAGATGCTGTCTCAGGCTAGCCGAGGGCTGTGCTTAAAGGGTCCCGACCCCCACCCCAGA